ATTCTCTTCAGTTACCTCAAAGACCGTGTTATATATATACAGCAGTGCTCGCTTCAGCAGCACATACACTAAAATTGGAACGATACAGAGACTAGCATGGCCCCTGCACAAGGATGACACGCAAATTCATGAAACGCTCCATATTTTATAGACACATACGTAGAGCACAGCGCCTTGAATAGAAGCAGCACTGAAGCGCTAAGTCCCCTCTTCAGCTTCAACACACACAGAAAAAAAGGCCTTTTAGAACATCACCCGCCAGTCAGTCAACAACGTGTTCCCTCCAGGTCTCATCAGAGCACAGAATTTAACAGCAAGCTCTCTGCAGCTGCTCGCCTCTCCTGGGTGCGTCTTACCCACTATGCATTACTGAAGACTCAACTCAGGTCTCAAGAGTACCAACCCTGGGATTTCCTTCCAATGTTCAGACACCCGAGGGTGCCCCAAAACGAGCTGCAGACAACAAAGGTTTTAATGTCCTGTTTTAAATTAAATGAACTGCAGCTGTGAAGCAATTCTGAACCAGGACCAGACTACTTCCAATCTAACCCCGGCTGTGACACTAGTCAGATAATTTACTTTGGGTGAGAGACAACGGTTTGTGCTTTCGTTCCCTAAAGTACTATAATGAACAATATAGAACAGTCCCTTGTAGCCCAATATAGCAGGACTACTTTTTAACTGTCACTGCTTCCCTCCCCCATCTTAAGGCATGGATTAGGTAAGAACCTTGAAAGCTAGTGACATACCCATCCTTCATGGAGATCCCGGAAGCCAGCTGTAGCCACCAGCAAAGATGCGTATCAGACATCTCATGGCCAGTTGATAAAGCTACATAGATTCTGCAGATGTCCTTTGGCATAAAACACCTTGATCTTTAAAACATCATTAAAAAAATATATCTGGGACCTTTACTAAAACATTCTTATAAATACTGATAGCAAGTCTAAGAATTTCTTTCTTTCTTTTTTTTTAAGATTTTATTTATTTGACAGAGATCACACGCAGGCCGCGAGGCAGGCAGGCAGAGGGAGAGGAGGAAGCAGGCTCCCCACCCAGCAGAGAGCCCAATGCGGGGCTTGATCCAGGACCCTGTGATCATGACCTGAGCGGAAGGCAGAGGCCAACCCGCTGAGCCACCCAGGCACCCCGAAGAATGTATTTCTTAGTTTCCAACCCCGATATTAATAACTTCCAATTTAAAATGAGAGGACTCACACAGAATAAAATCACCAATACGGGTTTAGAATGGAAAACTGTCAAAATGCTACTTTTACTAACCATCTTTCTTGTCCAAATGTTTATCAGACTTACGGCGCCTGGGTGGCACAGTCAGTTAAGCATCCACTCTTGGTTTCGGCTCCAGTCCTGATTCAGGCTTCAGACTAAGCGTGCTGTCTACCTGAGTTTCTCTTCTCTCTCTGCCCCTCATCCCCCACCCCCACGCACTCTCTCTAAAATAAATATATAAAATCTTAATTAAAAAAAAAATATGGCTGGGTGGCTCAGTCTGTTATGTGTCTACCTTTCACTCTGGTCATGATCCCAGGGTCCTGGGATCAAGTCCCACATACGGCTCTCTGCTCAGCAGAAAGTCGGCTTCTCCCTTTTCTTTCTCCCTTTGCTCCTCCACCTGCTCATGTTCTCTCTCTCCATCAAATAAATAAATAAAATCTTTAAAAAAAAAGTTGATTAAACTTTAGTATTCAGCTTTGTATTTTAATAAGCCTCAATTTTAAAAGGCTACTTCTGTAACTATGTGAGGAGTTGCATGTTAGCTAATCTTATTGTGGTAATCATTTCAAAATATATGCACATAAAAAATCACTTTGCTATACAGTTTTAATACCTTGTATATCAACCGTATCTCAATAAAACGGTAAGAATACTATTATAATCACAGGAAATGTGCAACCTTAAAATATGAAGTATTCTATTAAATATTTTTGGGCTTAATATGAAATTTACCACCTTCCAAATGACATCACAACTTTCTACATGGAATCACACAAAATAATAAAAACTTCAAACAAACAAAAAAGCTCCTTGAACAAGATGGCTTCTTTTATGCTACATCTGCCGCAATGAAAGTATACTTCCATGACAAGAAAATCTAACAATTTTAGTAACTCAACTGCACAGTAACTCAGAAAGTGTAGTTAGTTGATCACTGCCTTTTAAATTAGAACCTATCTGTTTTTAGAAGGAGGTAACTTTTGAAAGCTTAGTATATGTACCAGTCAATGCTAAAGAGATTTACATACATTATCTCATTTAGTCCTATGAGTACATGCTATTGCTAGCATACCTATTTTACAGAGGGGAAATGGAGTTTAGATTGGGGACCTTACTCTGCTTATAATCTATTCATTGAACTTAGAGCTCAAGAAAGATCCTTAACTTCCCTCTTGTTTGAAACAACTGTCTCTAGTTACAATAGTAGATCTGAACTAACTTCAAATCCCCAGAAAATTAAGGTGGCATTATGGTACAAACTTCAAAAATAGTGACTGAGTTTCTCCTTTAAACTTCTCTTTAATATGCCAAAATAGTTCTAAACCCCGAGCTTTCCTAAACCTTTCATCATTTATGGTGCTCTCTGCTGTACCTACCCATTAGAACAATTTTTAAAAACATTAACACTGTACCAATTATTTTCAAAAGCCCAGAGATACTAATCAAGTGATCCTAATAGTCTTAAACACTACCCTCAAACCGAAAGATAAATGGAGACTGGGAAACTTCCATTCTAAAGTACCACTATCTAGATAAAATTACTTTGTGAATTAGAGTAATTTCAATCAGATTCTATAAAATTGAACACTTTTCTCAAGACCAGAATTAGAAAGTAACTATAAGATAGTTTAAGGTCCCAAACTCCACATGGCAATTCAGTAGCAAAGGGCAGGCAATAGGGGCTAGGGAGAGAAGCAACAGTTTAGAAAGTAGTAATAAATAAAATTACAAAATGACTTAACTATTCATCTTCCTGGTCATTTTACCTTAACACAAGACTGTAATTCTCTAAAAAATCATATGCTACTTAAATAAGACCTACTGTCTTACTATAAGGTGTTCTGAATTTTAAGTTAACACACCACATATTAAGAAAAACTCCAATGTCATTTCACAACCATTAGAAACTCAATTACACTTTTTTTGGGATACCTGCATTTATGACTAATACCATCATTAACACACAAAAAAACTGTTTTATATAATACAAACCAATGCAGGTGTATTCTTTGTTCATTCCATAACTTATTAACCACTCTTAAAAAGGATTATTCTTAAAAATGTAAATGATCATACCATAAACACTATTTTTAAAGTGTCCCATCAGCTATGCAGTAATCAAGTATCAGATGTATTTTTAAATGATTAAATTATAATACAATGCATTTAATACAATGCATTCAGCAAGATAAACACGAAGTTATTAAATGGAGGAAGTGGAAGCAGAAGATTCTGCTTCAGTTGTAGGACAGGAAGTACTAACTATGGAAGTTTAGAAACAGGAATACCAACTTCTGTTTTAGCACAAAAAATAAAAGGAAAACATGGTGGTAAATTAGGGTAAAAGAGGAAGTTCTTTTTAGTGAACATTCTGCCATATATTTTAAAATCATTCCAAAAGTTAAAAAAAAAAAAAAGGGGCGGGGGGGGCGCTTACTCTTTCACTAGGCTTATGTGGTAAAACACTTCCTTGACTATACAGGAGCCTGGATTTTTTCACAAAACTGCGTATGGCTCACAGTTTACAAATCCGTAGGGACACTAGGGTGACTTGGAACATAAACTTTGGTTTCACATTTTAAAGTCTGATTATTAAAATTCTTTTAGCAACACATATTTTTTAAATGCATAAATTTCACAATATGAATATACTTAGCACTACTGAACTGTACACTTAAAAATGGTGAAGATGGCAAATTATAGGTTGTTTTTTAACCATATGCACAAAAAAATGCACAAGCTAATGAGAAATTACTCCACTTAAATATTAATAGTAACTTGTTATGTAAATTTCGATTACTGTAAAGTGAAATTCTTAATTTTTAGTAAAATTTGTTGCCGTTTTTAACAGCTAGATTCATTTCATGTCATTAACTTTTAAAGATACTTTCATACATAAAGGTCTTTAATCCTGAACTACAGTGAAAGTGAAGCACTATTTTCAATTAGCATCTTTCAAATCATCTGAATTACTTATTGCTATCAAATACCAGCTACGAAATTATGAGTGTGTTTCTACTTCATCTGATTCCTTCATTCAGTTAAGTGCAAATCTCGAAATTAAGAGAGCAAGATCCCTAAGTGAATAGGCTTTCTTAAAAGCAGTTGTAGTTTTGGATTGTGAGGTAGAGAACACTCGCCACACCTCAGCCTGTAGCACGATGGTGGCCCAGAAGGCTAAGGTCTATCACTGTTCTCTCCAGGCTCAGCCCTGCCAAATTGGTCAGGCTTTTATGAACACCCACTAGATTTTGTTCCGAGAAGTGTACAACCTGGTCAGTTTGGTAGCTCGGGAAGGGCCTGGAACAACCAACCAGCTTGGCTCGGCCACCTTTAGGAAAAGTCTCCAGCTCAAGAAGACTGGGAAAACTTCAACTTTGCGCAAACCCCCTTTCTCAGTCAGATCTAGTTCCCCTCCCGATGAAGCACTGTGTTCTCGAAAGATCTACACCTTTCCAACTCAAATGTCATTCCCAGATCAGCTGCTTGAGGGGCAAACGGCGCTCAACCCACGCCCTCTTCTTCGAGCACCTTCTCCACATACCAGGGCTGGGCTCAGCTCACTCTGCAGACCCCTTGTAAGCCCTAGAGGAAGCGGGGCTCTGGCCCAAGACCCCGCCCGGGGACAAGGCTGCCCGACCGAGTCAGCCGGGGGCTCCCGGCCTGGGCGGCTGCAGCCGCCGGAGGGGACCACTCGTGGGTTGGCTGGGGGAGACCACGGACGGCGGGAGGGGTCTCTCCGAAGGGGAGAAAGACAGCCTCACCTTGACCCTGATTTCGTAGGTGGTGAAGCGGCCCCGGCCGACCCCCACCGTCTGAGGGTTGCTCACATCGATCTCGAGGAAGTTGCTGGGGGGCCCATAGGCATCATTCAGGTTCTGCGGCTTGGTGATCAGCCTCCGGGTGTCCGCCACGGTCTCCGCCATTTCTCTACTGCAGCCGCCGCCGCCGCGGACTCCCTCCGCCCCCTCCGCGTTCCACCGACGCCGCCGCTGCTGCCCGCCGCGGGGACACCGGGCTCGCGCACAGCGGTCGCGAAGCGAACGAGCACGTAGGACGGGCGTTCACCCCGCACGCGAAGCTCCTCCCTGCGTCTCTCCGGCTTCCGCCTCTTGTGCCCCGGCGAGAAACAGCTGACTTGCCAGGACGCCGCGCCCTGGGCCGGGGAGGCCCAGCTGAGGCCGCGGAGGGCGACTGAGGGCGAGGCGGACGCGGGGCAAAGGCGGTCACCGGGCAAAGGCGGTCACGGGGCTTGTAGTCGTGAACAGGTTCCGGCCAGACTACAGTGCCCACAATGCACCGGGCGAGCGCGTCGCCGCCAGGATGAGGCCGAGGTGCGGCCGGACCTAGGGGTCCGAGGGTAGACGCTTCCTTTCTCTCTGCAGCCGCCTGGGCCTGGAGCGGTGGGAGAAAGCACGGAGATGATCTTCGCGGTCTAGGGGGCTGCGAGAACAAAAGTTAAACGGCTAGATTTGGGGGATTTGCCCGCAGTCGAAATGAAACTCCAGCTAACTCTGCGTCAGCCTACCACCCGTTTTACTGTGAACCACTGACAACGCCTTTCTAGATAACCATTAACATGCCTCACATTCTGATTTTGACATCATCGTGACAGTTTGACCAGACGCGTATCTAGATTGATAAATGGTAGGTGATTAAGTAGGAGAGTGGAATACGGACAAAGATCTTGCCAGATCACAGCACTAAGGTCAAACCATTTGGAGACTGTTGGGCTCTCGAAAACAAAATAACGTAGTTAAGTGGGCTGAAACCTGCCTTTAACGACCTATGTTTGGGTAAACTGCAACTTTCTTCCCTCATTTCCCACAAAGTTCCAGTAAGTTTAAAAAAAAAAAAAAAAGAAAAAAGAAGGAAAAGTGGTAAACATATTTCTACAGCATTTTATTTTTTTTAAAGATTTGTATTTATTTATTTGACAGAGATCACAAGTAGGCAGAGAGGCAGGCAGAGAGAGAGAAGGAAGCAGGCTCTCCACGGAGCAGAAAGCCGGATGTGGGGCTCCATCCCAGAACCCTGGGATCATGACCTGAGCCAAAGGCATAGGCTTTAACCCACTGAGCCACCTAGGCGCCCCTCTACAGCATTTTAAACTCAGATAAGACTTTCTAAGAATTGGGGGGGGGGGGGGGGGACCACCTGGGAAAAAACCAGTAGATGGTAGTTCATCTGTAGCAAATGGAGATTTCGAACTTTGAGGTAGAAGGATGTTTCTATCCCTGCCTAGAGGGTTATCTCTGTTTATGGCATAGTTCTGCAACTATGTCTGCGTTTTTAAAAGTCTATTGAGTTTCAGAAATTTCACTCTGAATAATCTGACCCTTAAGTTGAAAAATAGCCCAGATCATTAAAAACCATTCCTAATAACACTAAGAACAGTTGGAATAAAGAAATTACTTAAATATGATACAGACTATTTTCTGAAAAATCAACGTTCATTAATTCAACAAATATTTCTTGAAGGTCTAGTAGGTATTTTTCAACTGTCAATACTAGTGAGTTAAGAGTAGATACTAGTGAGTTAAGGGTAAATAAGTTACGGAAATTCTCTGAATTCTTCAGGTCTGGCTATTGAGTCCTTGGGGAAACATAGTAAGTCAATAAATAATATGATTGGTGCTATAAAGAAATAAAGCTAGAATAATGTGATAGAGAATGAGACAAGCTCATTAGACAGGTTGGTCAAAGAAGCCTTCTTTGAGTATCTTTCAAAGAGTAAGGGTAAAGTTAGAATATGTATGTGCAGACAGAACTCCCTGCTGGGCCTGTCTCCTGTTGCCAGAGACCAAAGGGGAACTTGGCTGGTATGATTATAGCAGTGAGCTCAAGAATTGAGTATAGGGGCGCCTGGGTGGCTCATTGGGTTAAGCCGCTGCCTTCGGCTCAGGTCATGATCTCAGGGTCCTGGGATCGAGCCCCACGTCGGGCTCTCTGCTCAGCAGGGAGCCTGCTTCCTCCTCTCTCTCTGCCTGCCTCTCTGCCTGCTTTGTGATCTCTCTCTGTCAAATAAATAAATAAAAAAGAATTGAGTATAGATTGTAGGGGACGAAAAAAATTTCCTTCTACCTTTCAAGATTACCCAACTGGTTTAAGAATCAAATTTATGTGAGACAGATTAACAGGAGAAAATAACCCAAGTTTAATTACATGCTCATGGAGGCCCTATAATGAAATTGAGATCCAAAGAAATGACCAAAGCAGGCAATTCTTATACGTTTCAGAAATGAGACAATAAATCTGTGAGGAATTAATAGGACACAGAAAACAGAAGGTTGGGAGCTCTAAGTAATTCTGAGCAGAATTTGGGCTGGGATAATAGATTAGTAAAAATTAACACGGTTCTTTCTATAACTTTGGAGACTTTACAGTCTTGATTCCTGGTGATGAGGATATTTTTTTTCCTTAGTACAGGAAGGAAACCTTCCATGTGGAAGATTTATTTCCCGCTCTCAGAGGGGAGAGAGGAGGGTCTGAGTGTGCTTGCACAGACTGTTTCCTGAGTAACTTTTACTTAAAATAATATGCCAAGGTGGCACTTTTTGGGAGAGCCTGCCTTTGATCCCTATGAAATGACACTTTGAATTAGAATATATGTGAGCCAGGAGACCAGGAACCATTGTATTGTGCTATGATCTGTGACACTTGAACAAAGCCCTCATGGGATATTCTCATAGGAATCTTCTGTCTCATTCCTTGGATGCCATGCAGAGCAGCTTTGGGCAGTAGCAACAAATGGCTGCAGTGGGAAGCAGCTACAGAAGAGAGTGGCACAGCCACATAGAAGCTAGACAGCTAAGAAGAGGTTCCTGGTATAAATATGGGGAGGAAAATTATTTTTCAGGATATATGATTGTATTCCTAGAATAATCCAAAAGGAGTAAGCTACTAGAATTAACAAGAGAATTTAGTGGCTGAATGAAAGTACAGACCCTATTTATACTGGAGTCCGGATGGAGAATATATCAATTTTTAATTATTAGGATTAGAAGAGGAGTGTTCATGATGCGTTGGTGAGGATCACAGAAAAATCTGTCCATTATGATGTCATTTGGTTAAACAAACAGAACAAAAATAATATATAAAGATATGTACATCTATATGGGCAGATTTCTGTTTGTGCATGGGAAAAAGTATGGAAAGATATAATCAGGCTGTTAACACTGGTAAGAGAGAGTGGCAATTGCAGTGGGGAAAGGAATGGGAAGACATCAGCATATTATAAGGATAGACTTAGATGTTAGAAATCTATTACTGGGGCCCCTGCATGGCTCAGTGGGTTAAGCCTCTGCCTTCAGCTCAGGTCATGATCCCAGGGTCCTGGGATTGAGCCCCACATCAGGCTCTCTGCTCCACAGGGAGCCTGCTTCCTCCTCTCTCTCTGCCTGCCTCTCTGCCTACTTGTGATCTCTGTCTGTCAAATAAATAAATAAAATCTTTAAAAAAAAAAATCTATTACCAACTTTATGTTTTCCTAAATGGCCTAATTCTAGAAAAATAATTTGTTAGTGTACCTGTATTACTGTGGAAGCATAAGAGGTGAGAGTTGTGTCCCTTAAGTAGTATACTAGAACATGTATATATATATATATATATATATATATATATATATGTAAAAATTTATATAATATCGTATTTCACTTAATAATGTATCTTGAAGATAGTTCCATATTTGTACTGTAGCAAAGTATCGCATTACATGATGTGCCATAAGTTAACTTAATTTAACATAATCTAACATTACTATCCCAAAGTATCGCATTACATGATGTGCCATAAGTTAACTTGACCCCCTATTCACAAATGTATAGGGGATTCAACCTTTCACTATTACAGTATTGCAAGGAATAGCCTGAATATTCTATCATTACACATACACGGGATTATATTTATAGGATAAATGTCTATAAATGGGATTACTAGGTCAAAGGATATATTTATTTATGAGAGGTATTGCCAGATGTCTTCTGTACAGGTTTAACCAGTCTACACCCCGTTCAGCAATGTAGGAAAGTGCCTGTTCGTCTATAGCTTCACCAACATGAAGTGTTCTCAAACTTTTTAGTCTTCGCTTATCTAAATGGTATCTTTATTTGCATGTTCCTTAAAAGGAGTTGAGCCTCTTCTCATACGTTTACAAGCCATTCATATTTCCTTTTTTTTTTTGGTGATATATTTGTTCAAATGCTTTGCCCATTTTTCTATTGACTTGCTCTTTTTCTTGATATGTTGGAGTTTATTAAATATTAAAAGTTTGGGGCGCCTGGGTGGCTCAGTCATTAAGCGTCTGCCTTGAGCTCACGTCATGATCCCAGGATCCTGGGATTGAGCCCTGTATCTGGCTCTCTGCTCAGCGGGAAGCCTGCTTCTCCTTCCCCACTCCTCCAGTTTGTGTTCCCTCTCTCACTGTCTCTCTCTCTGTCAAATAAAGAAATATAATCTTTAAAAAGTAAATTTAAAATATTAAAAGGTAACCATTTTGTGTGATATGAGTTGCAAATATCTTCCCCAGTTTAACTTTGTCGGTGATGGTTTTTTACCATGTAGTTTGTAATTTATGTAGTTGAATTTATCAATCTTCTCTTTTATGGCTTCTGAGTTTCCAAGCATGCTTAGAAAGACCTCCTCCTCTTTTAAAAGAAAAGCCAGGGGCGCCTGGGTGGCTCAGTCCTTAAGCATCTGCCTTTGACTGATCCCAGAGTCCTGGGATTGAGCCCTGCATCGAGGCCCCTGCTCTGGGGGGAGCCTGCTTCTCCCTCTTCCGCTCTTCCTGCTTGTGTTCCCTCTCTTGCTGTGTCTCTCTCTGTCAAATAATAAATAAAATCTAAAAAACCCCCCACATTTTTTCCAGACTATTTATAGGTTCTTAATTTCTTTAATTTTTAATTTTTTATAAAGATTTTTAGTTTATTTTTTATTTTTTTTTTAAGATTTTATTTATTTATTTGTCAGAGACAGAGGGAGAGAGAGTGAGCGAGCACAGGCAGACAGAGAGGCAGGCAGAGGCAGAGGGAGAAGCAGGCTCCCTGCCGAGCAAGGAGCCTGATGTGGGACTCGATCCCAGGACGCTGGGATCATGACCTGAGCCGAAGGCAGCCGCTTAACCAACTGAGCCACCCAGGCGTCCCAATTTTTTATAAAGATTTTTAATTTTCTTAT